AATGAGGGGAAGCCCTCATACCACCCAAAAGCACTCTGATCTCTGGTGGCTGTGTGTGTGTGTGTGTGTGTGTGTGTGTGTGTGTGTGTACTGTAAATGGCATGAGAGGTCTGACAGAAATGACATCAATTTAGCTTTGTTTGCAGGGAAATAAATTTCCAGAGAACACCACAAGAATTCTTCTCAACACAATAAGTCCTTACTGCAAAAATCCCCACAATAAACAAGTGTCTAAAATTAAATGAAAATAAATGTTCTATCAGGAGCAAATAAATGGCCAAATGTCAATGTTTCGAGATGGCCATCACCTCGGTTTGCTGCCAGTTAGTCTTATGTGATGAAGAAAAGCAGCAAATCCTCTCATCTGATAGAGCACACAACACACCTCTGAGAAATCATCTTTAAGATCCACAACACTTTGACTGTTTCTCTCAAGCCATGTGAATGTCTTCCGAAAGCTTCTGTGACCACTCCTAAATGTGGTCACATGACAGATAGAAATACATACATCAACATTATTGGGATATCTGATTTTGTTGCCCAGCCCTAGGGTGAAGCATTTTGATTAAATTTCAGGTCAGATACATCTGTTCTGCTGGGGGGGGGGGGGACTGAGTGCATCAGCGCTGATAGTTGCTAACAGTCTGGCTTCAGGCCTGGAATAACCATCTGTCAGAGTATGACAGGGTATCAGGGGATGGCAGGGGCTGAAGGAACAACATCAAACGGCCTCCCCTCCAGGCTCGCTGATACATTTCCCAATGGAAACACAGCCAGGCTTATATTCCGTGTTCTGCCATGACCCTCTACATTTTTACTAGTCCGCCAGGATGGATAATGATCAGTTGATCTGATCAGATCAGGTCGATGGATGAGAGGAGCAGCTGCTGTGAATGAATGCAAACTTTTAGGCCCAGTAGAATGAACGGTTAAGTTTCACGTTCAATGCACCTGACGCCCTGCTACCATGTCGCCGCCCCAGCACGCGCTGCACTCCAATAGTGTGGTGCTATATATAACCAAACAGTTTATCCAATAGCTCTCAAATTAACAGCCCAGCTCCAAAAATAAAACATTTATTTGTGGCGGCAGATCTTTTTGTCATGCGGGCCGCCACAAATAAATGAATGTGTGCAAAACCCTGAAACAGATGTTGACAAGGCTTTCCTTTGAGTGAGAAAATAGTCACAAGATTAATCCATAATGAAAATAATATGTAGTTGCAGCCCTTTTGACTTGTGCCCTGGTGTAAAGGGTCCAGGCTATGTTTAACTAGAAAGTGGCTCCGGCATAAAAGAGTCCAAAAAAAGTTGTATGAAAGTGATATAACCAGAATAGGAGGGGGGTTTTATGGTCGACTTCTGCCCCAAATGTATTCATATAGTTCCCGGTACAACTGCCAGAATATGCTGTGGTTGAAAGGGGGTGGAGGGAGAGGGGGGGAATCAGGTTCTCGACTGCTCTCCATCACAGGCAGGAAGGACAAAAACCTCCTCTCTCTGTGCCAACATTCCTCGGCCCAAAGGGATTTTATAGACCAGCGGACAGCAATGCAGGAACCATTATTACATCCTAGTGATACTATTTATCATGCTCCCTCTTTCCCTCCCTCCTACCCTGCGCTCTTTTCACCGCACAGGCTTTCAGCGCACCCCATCATGCAAAAAAAAAAAAAACTTCCTTCAAAAAACCCTGGCTCATTCTCGTGCAAATGATTCGGGGGCTAAATGCAAAACCAGTGACATTCCAACAAGATATAACAAATGGACTCAGCCCCAAGGCTCCAAAGGCAACAAGCCGAGGTTTGGTGAGGCAACATGGATTAACTCCGGGGCAAAGAGGATTTTTAACCCTGATTAACCACCACAGTTGCCATTGCAAGCACATTTGGTAAATTAAGGGGATTTGACACTGCCAATTGAAATGAAAACCACATTACGTGTGAAGAGACTTTTTGCTTTTTGTTTGCTCAGCCTTTACTAATTTAAGAAACAAAAAATAAACAGTTACTGTACTTTCCTATCTTTCACCTTCACTCTCTACTTGGTCATGAAGGACTTGTAGTGACTTGTGCTCCCATACATGGGCAGAAAATGCTGAGGTCAATGGAAAAAGTCATGAAGAACAGGATTTGTTTGGCCCGGTCTATCTTGGACAAACTGATAAGACTGCCCGTGAGACCTTAGCCTGAGCACAGCATAAGAAATCAAAATGGTCGAATTAAAAGAGTCCTTCTACCTCGGGCAGCAAAAGACTTTGCTAAATGAAGCAATAACTTCCCAAGATTAGAATATTTAAGACTCTTGGCATCCAGTTGATAGGAGAACCAACTCAGTCCATTGATAAAAAACATTCCAATCATGCCTGTGGCTCCCAAAAAGCCTTTTGCATTCAGAGCATGATCTTTTGTCAGGTAGCAGAACATTGTTATCGATTAGCTGGGAACGCCAAACCCACATACCAATAATGACCTCAGTGGGTAGAGAAGAAGAAAAGGCTGGAGGGAGAAAGGGGGGTGGAGGGAAGGATTGTCATAGCTCAGAGGCTAAGTATCCATCAAAGGAAAGTGGAGCAAAAAAGAAAGAAGGGAGAGAAGTCGCAGAGGCCTATGTAAGACTGATCAGACAGGGACAGACTAGGACAGACTGGGAGACGGACTTAGTGATGACTAAAGAAGCATCAGTCGAAATCTGGAGAGTAACAGCTCATTTAAAGAGCTGAAAAAAAAAAAAAACACAGCATATCTCGGTGGGAAAGCTGTAGGTGCTTCCACGCTAGGCTAGGCTAGAGGAAAGAAGTGTCTCTTGTGAAAAGGCCCCAGGGCCCTATTGAGATCCCTCCAAGTGTGCAAAATCCCCAAGAGGGCCGGTCAAGGTCACCAAAGGTCACATTCCAGAGGGGAAATCAAAAAAGAGAGGAGAAGGGAGTGGGGGGTGACAACGAGATGAGGCAGAGTGAGCAAGCAGAAGCTACAAGGCGTTGAGGAATGTAACAGATTGTAAAGGCGAGGTGGATCCGACCAACAGTGAGCGATTCGCTGGGAATCGCTGGCTCATGACATCAACACGCTGGTGGAAAAAAGCCGCCTGAAGGCAGGCAAAGTTCAGCTCTTCAATCTGGGATTAGCGTCCCAGGCGTTTCTGGCTCCACATGGGAAATTTCAATGTGTCATAGTACGTCACAGTGAAGCTCGTGACGCCCTCATATTTGAACTCTTGCCTCCTTTCAAATAACTTTAAAACATCACTGATGTATAACTGATAATTCCAGGCATGTAGTCCATCCTGGAGTGGGTGGTAAAGTCTGTGTTGCTGCTATTCACCCTTTCACACCATTTGTACTGACCAACTGGGCTTACTGGGGGGCAGGGTGCATGTGTTTGTGTGTGTGTGGGTGGCATCCTCACGGCCTGTATTAGCACTCCAGCACAAACAATTTCAAATAAGAACTCAAAATCTGTAAAATATAAGGTGGGACATGGGTAACTAGATGTGTCCTGTACTGTATGTGTGAGCACCAATTCAGGCTTAAACATACAATTAGAGGTTTCTTCTTCGTGTAATGCACAAGTCCATCCACATGAAAGGTACAAAGTACAGCTCCAGACCAAATACTGTCTGTTACCGCTCTTTAAAGAGTCATTTTTTGGTGACAGTCATTCTAACACAGACACACCAACATCACATGGCAACACCTTCCTCTAGGGAAAGCAGGACTGGGTCAAAGCACGACAGGTACTTGAATAACACGTGTTTCATGAATAGTTAATGGTGAAGCTAAGCTTGGGTGGCAGCACAATAATGGTGTCAATAATATACAGGAGAGCAGTCTGACTTTATGCATCATGAAATAGGAGCAAAACAAAAGTGACATAATGTGGAAAAGCCCGCAAAAACAAGCCAGGAGGGGTCACGTCCCGAAAAATACGTGCAACACATGACCATTGAAAGTCAGGAAACTACACAGCGCTTGGGAAAAAACATTGTAATCGTCAACCACCTCCACTTTCAGTGACGCTCCTCAGCAATCAAATTCTTTTGGCATTAAGTCAGTTTGTTGCTTTCCACAACACAGCAACAGACTGTTTCACTTATCTGCAAACGATCAGTGCTTTCTGAAGAAGGATCTTTTAGTGGGATGTGCACTGAATATGTGTAATACCAACATAATGTGAAGCTTCACGCGTTACATTAACATTAGTACTTTGTTCACATTGTATTTTCCCTTTTTTATGTTTAAGTTTCTGGAATTTTGCAGTACCTGCACTGCTTTTCTCTTACTACATGTATAGCTATGCACCAAAACACCAATGCAACCCCCTGTATGTGACAAACACATGGCAATAAACCTGATTTGACGTGACTGTAGGTGCTAAGAGAGCAGTAAGTCTCAAGTGAATTTCCCAGATGTCAGTTTCTTCACCAAATCATGCAGTAAAACAATAAGACATGCAGATCCACAGTCTAGTAAGCACCTACTTTTTAAATAAGGACAGGGAGGCAAATATCTGACTGATCAGAAAGAGTCATTCATGTAAAAAGAGCAGCCCAGATGTCCCAGTGATTGGCCCATCACAGGCAGGAAAAGTGACTTGCCAGCTACCCCCCATCTGGGCCCCATACTGGATAATAGCAGCAGGCTATAGATGCCTGTGTGTGTGTGTGTGTGTGTGTGTGTGTGTGTTCCTCTCCCCCAACCAACACACACTCCCTGGACTCTAGCCTCCACTCTGGCAGTGAAGCTAGCTGGCTAACAACACCGAGAATCAGTGAAGTGTCCATCTAATCCACTTTGTACAACAGCAAAGCAGCTCTGCGTCTGTATCAGCATGAAACCCCGTTAACAGCCGTTAAATCAAAGCGAACCGAGTCGCGTTAACGGCTAATCCTCACTCGGTTAACCGTAGCGTACTTTAGCTGGCGCTGCCAGTCTGACCGAGGCGGAGAGACCACTTTTATAAACTTTAACTCACAGTTAGAGAGATTTAAAGCACAACTTACCGACTCTGAAAAAACGGAGGCAGATAAAATGAGCACGAGGCACAGGTTGAGCATGGCTGTCCTTTAGGGAAAGTTTCTCAAAAAGTCGTTGAAGTGTAGCTTCAGAGATTTAAAACCAGCGGCGGGGGGTTAGTGTTGCTTCAGGAGGCGGTGTGTGTGTGTGTTCCGGTATAGTCCAACAAAAATACGAGCTGCTGAGAACTGGTCCGCTTTATCACCTTCACTGTGACTTCTTCTTCTTCTTCTTCTCTCCGGTGACTTTAACTGGGGCTTCTCGGTTTGATCGGCTGCTATATTTCAGACGCGTAAACTCTCCCCCAACTCTCCTCCAATCAGCGACGAGCTTGTGACGTCACGCTCTCATAACTTACGGTAAGTCCGCCACGCCCCCCAAGCCCTTCAAAATAAAAGCATACACCCGTATCCACAGGTTTAAAGGGGAACACCACCTGAATTAATGATTCCAACATGTTATTTCCATGAACCTGTGATGTCAGAGGGTGTAAAGTCTGGAGCTGCTCACCAGACCAGTGGTTTCATGTTTATGTTTGTTTCATTTAGAAAGGGACAGTGCATGTTAATTCAATCAAACTCAAGTTTTAAAGTCAGTTTATAATTCTGTTTTGAATCATCACCGTACCTACCCTGTAGCCTGATGTGTGCACCTCCCTAGAAATGTAACTACACTCCTGTCTGTCTCTGTAAGCTGAAACCATTTCCCTCAGTGGAAACAAAGCTTTGATTTCCTTGAACTTCACAGATAAGAAACAATAAATTGTGAAGACAATAAAGCCTCCACAAAAACAGCATTTTAAAGGGATAGTGCGCCCAAAAATGAAAATTCAGCCATTATCTACTCACCCATATGCAGAGGGAGGCTCAGGTGAAGTTTTAGAGTCACAAAAACAAAAGAATTGACGTGCTCGACTCACTGTTTGAAAAATCACAGGGTGCTGACCCAAAACTCACAAACTAAATAAATCCAAATGTCAGCACTCACAAATATCATATATATCAGTCTTTTAATAACGCACAGCAGTATCACAAACGGACCCGTTTCAGCACTTGGCTTTCCTCAGCGTTAATGCACAAAGTGGGTATAGCCCACATATCTAACAGACAGGACCTTGCTGAATCACTCCAGCTGGCACGAATCAGTCAATCAACCAATCGGACCCAAAGATCCACAGAACACTTGCAGAGATCCAAGGGGAGAGGAGGTAGCAGCACAACTCCACCTAATGGAGGCTGACGGCGCCCCAGATTCAAACGCGCACACCTGAGCGCGGTGCACAGAGAGGCAGTCAGAGCTACAGGCTACAATGAGGCTAAAAACAGAGTTCAAATGACGTTTTTCCAAACAACTTTTTATGTCGGGGCTTCAGGACACTTGGATCACTACGGACGAGCAGTATGGAGATATTTTGTGGTTTCAATTATGTGTTTTTGGACATTTGAATCTGGGGCGCCGTCAGCCTCCATTAGGTGGAGTTGTGTTGCTACCTCCTCTCCCCTTGGATCTCTGCAAGTGATGTGAGGACTCTAAAACTTCCAAACTAAATAAATCCAAATGTCAGCACTCACAAATATCATATATATCAGTCTTTTAATAACGCACAGCAGTATCACAAACGGACACGTTTCAGCACTTGGCTTTCCTCAGCGTTAATGCACAAAGTGGGTATAGCCCACATATAGGGACAGTTTATTGGTATCTAATCCCCCTCCTCCCAAAAAGCAGCCCCTTATTTTATCAACAACATTTTCTCCGATCTCTCAGCCAATTAAACATATTGTCAGAAAACACTGGCATATTTTGTCTAGTGATCCCGTTGTGGGCCATGAGTTTGGGAACCATCCTATATTTGCTACGAAGCGACCTCATAATTTGAGTGACAGACTCGTTAAGACAGATCTATATGTTAAACCTAAACATTTTTTAAGTTCTCCTTCCCCCGGGTAATTTCCCTTGTTTGAATTGTATAAGCTGCAACACTATGATTAAAGCAGACCAGTTCACACACCCTCACACAGGCAATAAAATGAGGATCAGGGATAGAATCACATGTCGGTCCACACATGTAGTTTACCTGTTGAAATGTCCATGCGGTTTATACTATGTGGGCAAAACTAAAAGAGAACTGATAATTAGGATTTCTGAACATAAGAGTTGCATCAGAAATGGGGATGAGAGATCTCTTGTTGCCAGGCACTTTAATTTGGCTGGCCATGGAGTTTGTAGTTTACGCTTTATGGGGATTGAGCTGGTTAGACCACTTTTGAGAGGAGGTGATAGACAGAAGAAACTTCTCCAGAGAGAAGCTTATTGGATACATCACTTGCAGACTGAGCATCCCAGAGGCTTAAATGAAGAACTGGTACTTTCTTGTTTTTTATGAATGTGATTTTTTATGAATATGTTTTGATCTAGGATATTGCGAACGTAATTTATTCTGTGGATGTCCTGTGTATCATCAGCTGACAGCATTACATGCATACATTAGTTTTTGTTAGTATGTAGTTTGACCAGCCTTGTTCCAACTGGATTATTCATAGAATGACATCCTGCTTACTAGCCACATAATTATCCTGATGTATTTTGGGTTATTTGAGCCAGGCCCACAGTCCCCAGTGGCACACTGCAGGTGATCCACTTACATTTTTGTATATTTTTTATATTTTTTGTACTTTATACCTATTACTCACTATGTCTTGATGAGGTAGATTAGATACTAGTCTGGCTACTGTCTTACATGACACTGGACTTTGAAAGAAAGATGTTTGTTTCCTGTATTATTCCATAGCTGGGTATCAGCATGTGCACATGTTTGTCATCTGGCATGATTTAATATGTTCAACATGGAACCCATTTGGTCTTGTGGATAGGTGACTCATCTTTTTTATCTTTTTCTGTCCTTTTTGATCTTGTAATTTAAGGATACTTATTTAACTGTTTATTGGTATCGTTTGATCATTGTATTGTGATTATTGCTTGTTTGGCTGATATAGCCATTATATAAGACTTACCTTTAGAGTGATTACACTTTTTTCATGTCATTATTTATCTGGATGTTTACATATGTATTTATACTTGATCTGTTCAAGTTTTTTTGATCAGTCACTGTTGAGATAGTTTTTGACGTACTAAGGATAGTCATCTGATTATTTTAATTTTAATTTAATTGGATTGTAGGCTCAGCATACCTATTGGCTACTCTTTGTATTGTCTTTACATCTTGTTCTGTGGATCTTTGGGTCCGATTGGTTGATTGACTGATTCGTGCCAGCTGGAGTGATTCAGCAAGGTCCTGTCTGTCAGATATGTGGGCTATACCCACTTTGTGCATTAACGCTGAGGAAAGCCAAGTGCTGAAACGTGTCCATTTGTGATACTGCTGTGCGTTATTAAAAGACTGATATATATGATATTTGTGATTGCTGACATTTGGATTTATTTAGTTTGTTAGTTTTGGGTCGGCAACCTGTGATTTTTCAAACGGTGACGTCAATTCTTTTGTTTTTGTGACTCTAAAACTTCACCTGAGCCTCCCTCGGCATATGGGTGAGTAGATAATGGCTGAATTTTCATTTTTGGGTGCACTATCCCTTTAAGTCGTGTGTGTGATTTATCCTGGCTTCATATGAGTTGAGAAAAGGTTCGCTGGTCACTAGGCTAATTTATACAATGTAAAATGCCATAGGCTTGTGCTTGTGTTAGCATGTTAGATTTGTTTGGAAAACGTGTTTAGTATAAGACAGTTGTTTTGTCAGTGAACCTTGTGAGTTGTAATGGAGCTGAATTTTGTAACATTACCTTTGTTAAATGTTGCTGTTGTCCCTGGCTTCATATGAGTTGAGGAAAGGTTTGCTGGTCGCTAGGCTAATTTATACAATGTAAAATGCCATAGGCTTGTGCTAATAATGTTAGCATGTTGTATTTGTGGGGAAAATGTGTCCAGATAAAGACAAGTGTTTGTCTGTGAATGCTGCGAGTTTTGTGATTGTGCTGATTTGTGTAGTTGTGGGTTTTTTCCCCAGTTTTTCAGCATAAAAAAATTACGTTTGTCACATGACAGTGTTTTAGTCAGTTGATAACTTTTTGATAAAATTTGTGACATTTTTGACTGAATTAAAATAATATGTTAGAACATTATAGCCTAAATAAAATAATTTGACCACCAAATGTCACCACAACTTTTGAATTTATATTAAGTTGGTTCAATTTAATTATTCTTTTTTTCGAGGTCAAAGCAACTCATGTTGGTTGTACTAAACTAATTTAGTTTGTCTGATGGTTTTTAACGTTGAACCAGAGGATTCTTTTTTAGAGTGATACCTGAATTGTCTTTTTTTGGTAAATAATTTGACTATTTTATCTATCTATCTATCTATCTATCTATCTATCTAGTAGATGTTAAGTGTGGCACAAGAATCACTGGTTTATTTCAGGGAAAAGACAACATCTGCTTCTGTTTGTCTTCATTAATGACATAACAAGCTAATAATGTGTCGTTTTATAACGTGCCATTTGTCGATAAGCCACAGGCTGTTATCTTATCGGCCACAGTATGTGATTACAGGTGATTGTTTTCCCACCATCGGAGAATAAACACAACTTAAATAATGATTTCAAACTTTGTGTGGGTGTCCACATATTTCTGTCAATCTCATATAAACTGTCCTACTTTAGGATGTGCATTTGTCGCATGTTTTTTCTCCAGTCAAAACATTACGTGAAAAGATCAGCAGGACGTGTGGTGAAGCTCTGTTTGAACGATGGTCCTAATTCCCTCCAGGAATATTTAAAACTCTGCATGAAGTCATGTTCAATTCGTTTCCAGCTGTTTGGTTTCTGTTTCCGTAAAAGGGAAGTTATATGCCTGTGGGTTTTTGTGCTGCTTCACGGAAATTCTTTGAGTGACGGCATCTTCCGGTAAAAAGTTCCTCTCCCTCCTTTTCTTCCCCTCTTTCACTTTCCTCCCCTCCTCCCCTCTCTGGGCTTCGCAGTGGTCCAGTTTCCACATGGTTTTACTCTCCAGAGCTCATCTCTGACAGCAGCAACAACATGAGTCATCACGTTCCTGTTTTCATTTTTCCTCTATGCGTCGCTTTACGATGTTGCATCATCCATGTTTTCACTTTTCTTGAGCATCTTGGTGAAATAAATTATGGTGTGTAGTGTTGTAATACTTATACTGTGCATTGGGCATGGGCTGTGAGACTTGTTATTGTGGTGCAAAAAGTATTCAGATCCTTTACTAATGCCTGACTGCA